ACATTATCTGAATCCAAATACAGGTAAATGCCCTTGATCAGAGTTTTTATGTTTCTGAAGGTATTGTGGAGTTGTCTGTGGGTTTGTTTTTTGTTTGTTTGTTTATTTTGTGGGGTTTTTTGTTAAAGGGGTTCCAGCCACAGAATATGTATATTTAACACTGCAGTATCACAAGAATTCCCTCTCCTCTCATCTTCCCAGGAAAAAGTGTCTTCAGAATAGCCCACTCTCACCACTTTATTTTTCAGGTTAGGAGGGTAATCAGTTACTAGATGCCTTTTGTAGCTAATTATTATGTCATTCATTTTACTGGCCATTGCAGGGGTCTTGATAAATCACGCACTCCTGAAGGTATGGTTATTCTGAACACATCCTCCTGCATGACAACTGCTATCTTTGTTGAACAGAAGCCAAGTATACCTACTGCCAGCTGAATTATAGTCTAGTTCCTAGGATACACTTCAGTAAAAGTTTAAGAGCTGCATTTGCGAGAAGCTTTCAAAATCAGAATAAATATGACAATTCTCTTCTGTTTGAAAATATCAAGGAAAAACTTTAGTCTAACTTAGCTTTTATTTGTTTATGCAAAAGTGTTTCTAAAACATTCTTAGGCACTGTATTTAGATCCTGTGTAGTCATGGGAAGTAGCTCATTTTCTGCTATATACAAACTTTTAAAGCACTGCTGACACATAGGGATTCCTGGTAAGTCCACACTTCAAAACCAAACCCTGTTTCTATCACAGTTGCAAGGTAGTGCACACTTAAAGGTACAGGTATTACATATATTTCCTTAGTGACAAGGGGCATTGCTATCTTGCTAATTATAAACTGAACTGGTAGTTCTTATTTGGTATTCTGCAAATCTCAAGAATGTTTCATCAGCCACTGAATACATTAGGACTATTGGCAACCTGAAATTCTCCATTTTTTATAAGCTTCCCTATCACCTGATATAACAGTAAAATCACAAAGATCATATTCATGAAGTCAAACAGATCTTCCTGGAATTCTATCCAGACCTATAATAAACATGCTTACTTTTTAATAATACATTAAATTGGAACAATTTTATAGAGTCCTCACTACATCTAGGCCCTGTCTACCAAGAAATCTGCATCACCTGGGAGCTTATAATGAAACAGAATTAAAATAGATTAGGCAAAAACGGAATGCGCAGTAGTCTAATGCGTGCACTGTCATACCCTCCTCATCAATAGTTAAATGAAGTCAGTTATATCATTGGCAAGATACTGCAAGAAGAGCTGAAACAATCTCATCTTTGAGCTAATTTTCATTTTAAAAAATTTAGCTGCTAATTCCTTGTATCTTCTACACACCTAATTAATGTAGGAGAGCTGTATTATTAGATCTAGGCATGAATGAGTTAACAGCAGTGCACATGCCAAGGTTTTAATAAGGCTTAACAATAAAAAGCTTCAGTCCTCCACTTTCACTAGGTTTTGTGTTGTGGTTTTCCCTTGCTTAGGGCAATCCATCTGTTAATGTTGACTTGCAATACTGTTAAGCTCGCACCCGTATAAAAAGCCTAGAACAGCTAACCTAAGCAAGAGCAAGCTCAAATGAATATTACGGAGATAGAACAATTCATCTTAGGCAAAGATTAATTGTGTGTGTGCACATGCACAGGCACACAGGCACGTATGATGGCACTCCTGTTATTTTCTTTAGGAAAGACTTTCAAAATGAAAATGATAGGAGGGCTAGCTGATCGCTACATTTTGCAGTAACACAAGTATTTATCCTCTGATTAGGCCTTGACAGCTATTTTACATGCTATAAATTGTTCTGATTTACTGTTAATTTTTTTCAAACTCTATTGCCAATCTGGAGGAAAAAAAAAAAAAAGATAACACAATAAACCCACTACGACAGCAGTGATAAAGCTTAGTAAATATTCATTGTAAAAAATGGCTCTGCACTGTGACCAGTGCTGGTATTCTCCCTGGGCCAAACTGGCCTTGTTTTCAATAAAACCAGAGAAGTATCCTTTCCCTTGAGCCCTGTTAGGCTGAGGCTGCAGTTGGAACTGTCATCTTCACACAAAAGCAAAGGGGTTGGGTTTTACAAACGCAAAGCCTAATTGGGAGATCTTCATGGCTGTACCCTTGACATTTATTAAGGCCTCATCAACAAAACAGGAAATAACCGTACTAATTAGCAGACCCACAAATAAACTGCTATTTGTTGGAGTAAAAGCAGATTCACTTCCTATTGTAAAGGAAACATCCCCCCAGACCCCAAAATCCTATTATGAATCATTTATTTATCTATTTATTTATCTATTTATCTAAATTATTTATTATAATTTAACAATTATCTTTTACAGTAAAGCACAATTTCATATCACACAATGTTTTGAAGTAAATGTTTTACAGCATCTCGGTAACTATTAGTATTTATGGATGTTTCTAAGAAGTAGAGAATGAAAAGCTTAACGCCTGCCTATAAGATGACAAAATACCAAATTCTTTATATTTACAGGTTTCTAAATGTTTCAGTATGGAAGAGAATAGTAATAAAGTGCAGAGGTGGCCCTTGTTTGGAAACAAGATGACCATTAAAAGCAATCTCTTTCATTTGTTTTTGTTTCTATTTCGGGGTAAATTCAAATACACTGATATTGCAATTTACTATCTCATTATTACCTTAAATATAACCAAAATGCATAAACTGCACATTAGCACTATCCTTATACTGCTATAGACACTCATGGGCACCATAATTAGAAATCTAGGTGGAGAGGTTCATTTGCAGAATAAAGAGTTACAGAGAAAAGGATTAAACCTGACAACAGCAGCCACCTGTGAAATTCACTTCTAAATGGCAGATTCAGTACTAGAACAGTCTCTCTCATACACATGCACTTGTGAATTCAAACATATTTTTTAATTTGGATGTCAATTTTAGTATCACCACTTATTTGTAAAGAACTTACATTTATGTTATCCTGTTGAAATACTTAACAAGAACAAAAAAAACCCAACAAACAAACAAGAGTAGCAATAGCAGACTTTCTTTTTAGAAACATTTTGGTTTCTTTGCTTTTGAGAAGAAGTGGGAATAGGATGAGTGAGAGGTGAAGAAGACTATGTGAGAGCAGATTTCTTGGGAAGTGACCACTATTTGCTCCTTCCTGCTCAGTGGACTCATGTGACATCTGAGACAAGAGCTGGGGAGAACACATAGGACCTTCAGCAGGTCAAAACTGCAGGGCTATTAGTTACAAATTTGTTAGTAAATAAACCCTACATATGTATACAGGTACATAAACATGCATGTGTATATGTATATATGAAAACAAAACTATGGACTGATATGCACTCCTGCCTTGTTTTTAAAACTAAAAGATGACTGGTAGAAACAGCAACACTGATATTAAAGGATTTAGCCGTATACAGCTGTATGAACACAAAAGCATACAGAAGTTAAATTGTTCTGTCCAAACACAGGCCTTCAAAATAAATGTTTAATTGTACCAGGGTAAATAATATTTCTTCACATCCCTGGACTCCTGTACCTGACAGTAGGCAGCACTACCATATCAGTACATTATTGCTGATTTCTTTAATAAAAGCAGACTCTAAAAATTCACTGACTACAAGGATACATCTGTGTTACATATTTACACAGATACATACAATTGTAAACTCACCTACACTAATCTGTGAATGTTGGCTTAGAATTCATGAAAAGCTTTTTAGTATATCACACAATCAAATTATTTGGGGGGGGGGAAGCTGTTATGCATTAAGAAGCCAATTACCTATTAGTAACAAATACTTGCAGAACTATTCATGTTATTAATATTAGAGCTCTGCACTCATGCATTTACATTTGTGTATCTTCTCTTCTCATACTCAGTGAAGAAAATCTACTGTACACAAATTCTCAAAAGAATTCCAGCAGCACAGCTCCAATACATAAAAGTACATACATAAAAGTATACTGAGGGCACATAGTTTAAATCACAAAAACATGTACAAAGTGAAACCTACCTAAATAATCAAAGCAGAAAGTCTAGTCTTTGTATTATAAATAAGCCTACTAAAATAACGACCTAATACTAATGTACAATTTTAACATAATTTAGCAATAATCTGCAACAATTCTATGTTAAATTTTCACACTTGTTATGGATAAAACCTGATTAAAAATCAAATTGATTAAATAGACAATTCAGACTTTTATCACTGCAATATCTCAAGTATAAGACAAAGTGTTGTTAGATCCACTGGACTGAATTTCTATACTTAATTCCCATATGAGGAAGACACATGCATGAAAAATCCACGTATAAACATTAATTATATGTATTAAAAACATGCAATAACAATATAAAATATACACCCACACATTAAAACATGTACATATGCAGGCATTTATTCCCAGAAAAATGTGTTACAAAAAATATTTTATGAAATAAAACTGTCAACATGAATCCAAAGACATGAAAACACTTGCCAAAGTTGAGATGCTACACCTGTTACTTCAAATCAAGACTAGAAAGGTTCACAGAACAAAAGGACAAAAGATTGGCCCGAAATATCTATCTGATTTATTAATAAAATAACAAGTCATAACTATCTAAGTAAGGATAAAGGCCATGTGACTGCCAAATCAATTTATTATAAATACAAAATGAATGTGCCCCACTATAAGAAACAAAAAAAGATAGCATGACACAGATCTATGAATAGACCAGAATCTACTTTCTGTGAGAAACCTTTATCAAAAACCGCATTTAAGAATTAAATCTCTTACACATCTCCCGGGTTTTCCCCTCTCAACAGGGATAAAATACAAATAGCATTTTTCCTCCATTCAGCAGTATAGCAGTATTTCTGTAAGGTCTGTTAATCACTACCCAAGCACAGACAGTAAAATAACCTTAAACAGATTCACTGATGAATTACAATTAAGTGGCAAAAATCTTCCTCATATATATGTGAGTAAGAACAGGATTTTCAGGTGCCTTACCTGTGCCAGCCTTCGTTTTTCAGAGTTTGCTCTTTTCTCACAATGCAGTGTGTAGACGGGAGCAGTCCGTACTGCACCAGCACTGCAAGTTCCGTACTCTTCCTCACTCTCCTACACAACAACACAGATTTAAATTCCTTTATTTATAACCATTATCTGCAAAGTACCCTCCATATTATGCATGCAGAATGCATCCAAAATTATCTTGCCACAATCTATTACTGTAATGAAAATACCATCTGTAGTAAGAAAATCAAATTTAGCTTTTCAAAAAGCTGAATTGTCAACACTGTCATTTAAAAGATGAATTGTTCAAATGTCTAGGAAATATTTTTGAAAGTTTTCTTAAAATAGCGTAAGATATATCTAAAAACCAGATCATTCTCCCTACAGAAAAATCTCATGTGAAAAAAAATTTTCAATAGGAAAAGCAGCCACAAAATGCCTAAAAAACATCTTTTCTGATTTTTTTGCCAGGCTGCTTTTGCAAAATGAAATTATTCCTTCGTTTTTAAACACTGCCATTGTTCATCTATCTTATGGAACCAAAAAGAACAACTACACTTTCTGAAATACATTGCACTGTAAGACGCTCCCCTCTCAAATTCTCAGCTTGAAGCAAAGGCTTCGATTGTGATATCAAAGCAATCAACTTTATGAAAACATACATCCTGTTAATGTATCTTTGAAGACCTCTGTTGTTCCATGATAAAATATGCAAACAATAAAGAGATTATTCACTGGATGCATAGAATGACAGATAGTTGCCAGAGGGCTCGTTATGAAAAATGTATTGTTGAACAAAGGGCTAAGCATATTTCAAAAGTCATTAAAAACACAAATCTCATGTGATTTGTAAAGTATAAGCTTCAAACTGATACAGGAATCAATGTGAGAAAGTAAAAAGTGTACTACGTACCTTGTGTTTTAACTTACTCTTCACTTCTTTTATTCCTTGCCTTGCCTGGTATTTTGCCTAGAAAAATAAATGGACTTAAGTAGCTCTGCAAAATGCTGGCTTAAGCCATGAACATGCTTTATGATGCCATACTAATGTTACCTTTTTTTTTAAACAATACCCTGTGACATAAAGAAGGGCAATAATCTTTATCACAGATTTCATACAGGTATTGTCAGTATATTTTTTATATTTATGCCTTGCCTGTATATTAAGGATTTTTTTCCAGTACATGCCTCCCAATGCTGTGAAAACACACATACTCAAAAATTCTCCAGTATTACTAAGGTCAGGCTAAAAATGGTCATGTACTCCTTTATTTGAAATTGTCCTTTAAATTTAAAGGGGTATTTAGCAGTAAGGCATGCTGGAAAACTGTTAAGATTTTTAAGATGACTGTTACAGTGTTCCAGTCTGGCAACTTGCAGGGCAACATCAATCTTAAGAGAAATGATTTCTTATGCAGATGGAGATTTTGCCCAGTGTTGCTGAACAGTGTAGTGCTGCTACTTAGGGGAGAATTGTGTGTGTATTAAAATAGGCAGCCAAGGATCACTGTTGCATAGAAAACAGCCAAGAATAGAGAAATGAATTATCAATACAGAATACTGTGTACTTACATTTAAAAACATTGGGAAAAAAAAAAGGAGAGAGAAGGGGTAGGAAAACAAAAAAAAAAGAAAAAGGGGGGTGGGGTGGGGCAAAGCACCAAAACCCCTAACCCTAACAGAAGAAAAAGGTATCTTTGTTATAGGCACACAGGAAAAAACTACGAAAGTCTTCAAGGTTGTCTTGAAAATATGACTTTAAAAATATATTTAAGGGCATAAATATGCGGAAGCCACCTATTTTTTCTGTGCTTTTCTATACACAGGATTTCAGAAAATCGTTTTCTTGAATCAAGAGGTCAGAGAGTCTTTTTGATCCCTAAATCATACATCTATAAGCTCAATAATAGCACAATGGGGTGCCATGTAGCAGATGCTAACCTGAGAGACACTTTAAACTTTCCAGATCATGCTCACAGCATTTGGATGAATTTTGGAGTGCTTTGCTCTAACTGAGGAATGGTACCAAGCACATTACTCAAGGCTACCAATCAGTTATCTAGCAACTAAGAAATGCCTATTTCATTTCTCTAGTAGAAGGCACCATAAAGGGCAACAGCATAAAAACCTAAATGGAGTATAAATTTGAATACTTTATATACATAGAACCTTACAAAAGCTACCAATGTTTCCTGGCATACCAGAAGTTCACTCTGAAGAACCTTTATTATTAAGGACAGAATTATCAAAATTGAAGGCTGGGAGAAGACCATACAACCACAGTCTAAGCTAGTGTAAACTGCAAAAGCATAATTTGCAGATAACCTGTTAATGAACCATTTTTTAAATTATAAATGAATATATGAATATGAAGCATATTTAATTTATTTACCTATTTTTCTCCATGACTGCTGTGTTTTTCAACTGATGTAAAATTAAAAATTCTGTTTGAAAACTTTACTTAAAATACACTTACTCAGATTGATGTACTGATTTATTCAGGACTACTTATTATGCATCCAACTAGTGAAACATTTTGAAGACCAAAAGGAAGCCTAAAGTCTTTTCCCATATACTAAAAATGCAACCTTAAAATACTTCCCACTTCATTTGACACTACTGCTGTTTTCCGGTACTGCATAGTACCATATAATGTCACATGCTTTATTGGTTAGACAGTCTTTGAAAACAAGATCTTTTAAGCTCAAAAGTATAACCACTAAATCCAGCTAAAAATGAGTATGTTAGTATCATCTTTAAAAGAGAGATGATAGAACAGACTTGCTGCACATATTACCAATGCTTTACCACATCTTTTCAATAGTGCAGCACGTAGTGCCAAAGTAAAATTGCATCTTTGTAAACCAGGACTCCATTTGTCCAGCACGAACTATATGTCTTCTGAGCAGAGATCTCTACATCATGTTAATGCTATAGACTATGTAAATATATACAATAACACTATATTTATATTACATATAAATGTAATATTTACAAAATGTTTTACACTCACATTAATGCCTGTGCTGTGTTACAGGACTTTGGTGCAAATGAGAATTTCTATTTTCAGAGTCCATATTTCAATCATCTTGTCACTAGGTTAGGAAGAATTTACAGCTGTGTATCAAATATCTAAATGATATTCAAATAAGCTTCTAGCATATATTATAATTCAAACAAAAACAGCACACTGAAGCTTTGAAAATCTCTGTTGTTGCATACAATCTATCTGGTAGACTGAATCAACTCTAAATCCTAGTGCTATATGAGAAAATAAATGAAGCTAAAACTTTCTACAGGCTGAAGTGTTTTTCTGCATTATGTTTATAAAATGCTAAGGTTTTTAACTATTCAGGAAGAATGAGAGGTTGTAGGAATTTGCAGTATTTTTATGTATTATTTATTTGAAATAGAACATCTTACGAATTTATATGCTGTTTTCACAGCCGGAGTGGCTTTGGTCATTGCTGTGTTGATCAGTGCACCGCCTTTCTGAAAGACACAAAAGATGTACTTCAGTAACATTTTAACATAAGTCAACCTTAAGACAACAGCAAGGAAAAATAAACAATGTACTTTGGAGAAATAACCATCTTCTTTTTAAATCAGTAAGAATAACCACAGCTGTGTTTGCTCCCCAACCTGCTGTCTGCAGCTACACAAGGGTTACAGTACATCATTATCATAGCTGACACATTTATCAATGCATTCTAACAGAATGATGTATTTTCATTCTTCATTCATTGTAAGTATTTGAAAATCAATTCAGAAGTTATGACTATTTTTCATGCTTTCCTACCATATTTATTATGCAACTTAAAAATACTTTAACCTGACAGAAAGAACTCTCATTTAATCACACAAGAATTCCCTTACTCTAAAATAATATATACTATTAACCCTGCAGAATAACAAGGTTATACCAAGGGTCTTCTGCTAGCCAAACTGCACAAATCCATTTCAACAAAACTGCTATTTACTAGAAGTGATAAACTTTGCATCAAATTCTGCTGTCACACCTAATTCACAGTAATGGTATGTAACATGATACAGAAAGCGGTGTTCCCTGACTATACAGACTGAAAAAAAGTGTGGGTTTGGGCATTTGTTTTGTGTATGGGGCTGCTTGCTTCTCACAAAAAAAACCACAAACCTTCAAAAAAAGAAAGAAATATTGCAGAAACCATACACATGGCATTTATTATAGAATGCACTTAATATTGCCTTGCAAATAAACAAACTTTTACAATTACAAAGATGTATGTAAAAATACAAAGATTTAGAGAAAAGATAGCCAGTATAATTACTTAACCAAGCTTATACCTTCACTGTGTGCATCCACTGCTGATAAGATCTTGAATTTCCTGAAATAGAAATGTAAAATATAACACAATTAAATGTACATTCAAAACTTTAAATGCTTCAAGCCTCCTCACAATCTGCATAAAAAATTCCCTTAGAGGATTATTCATTAATTTCATTCTTTCCAGACAGACAAGGAATGTAAAGATAAGAATGTGTACAACAAGAAAAAAGCTTAAGTATTTATTTCATGCTTTCAATTTCTTTTCACCGAACAGAGTTTTTAATTCCAATTGAAGTAGAAAGATAAATTAAAACTACAATAACTATAATATTCTGCTAAAAAGTCTAAAAAGAAAAACACGTCTCCAATGAAAGAACAAGATATAATGAACTGAATTCAAGCATAATGATCCCACTGAGCAAACTTTCAAGTACAAAAATAACATGGACTGCAGACGGTACCATCCCAAGGAAAAAGGAGAGAAAAGTCTAAGGATTATGGCACAACCATATACTCCTGTGCAGGAAAAAGCCCTTTTAAGTTATTAATCGTATCTACTTTTTTTCACAAAGGAAAATTTCTAAAAGACAAGTGAGAGCTACTGGCTTTTGTAGAACTACTGAGGACTACAGTGCCACTAAGCTGGCTATAAAGTGTTCAATTCTACTGAGCACTTGATGAAGAAATGAATACTATTTCCCATTGAACACCAAAGATTGCGTCCCTGATCCCTGAGTAAGTTTTAGAATACATCAGTCACCTGAGTACTCCAGTACTGGGAGCTCTTTCTAACCCCAGACAAGATGAGACAAGAATGCTGAAGTTGCAGAGAGTTTACCTGTTTTGAAAAGATCATACTGATATATCCTTGACGTTACAGACTTTTAACAGGAATTCACAAAACTTCTTAAGCCTTGCAATAATCAATTAACTAAGGCCTGGGTGGAATTACTGCAGTGGCTACTGGAAAGCCAAAACAGCCTCCTAGTACACTAGTACATGGCTGAGAACTAACTGGATCATTGTAAAAGGTAATCTCAAGTTTCTCAATGAGGTGAAAAAAATGAGCTGTTTATACTCATATCAGGCACTTTCACCCACTCCAGTAAATTCTTTACAAACAATTTAAAGACAGCCAAACTCTCAGGAATGATGGTGCAAGTGAAAGCAATAGTTGCTTAGAAAGGAGGGAGCCTGGTAATGATGATGCTCCTACCTCCAGTACGAACAACAAAGCACAACCTAAAGCAAACATGGCTTCATTTTTTACATCTTTGATCTGGCTCCCTGGAACCACCATAGAAACTAGTACACAAATAACATGTAACAAGGTGACATTTAACCACTACTAGTGCATTAATGGAAATTCAATGAATCATAAATACTTTCTCTAACATGACATTTTATAACTTCAAATTCTTCTAAACTGTATTCCTAGAGCATCTGGCTTGTGATGTCCTTAACAGTGACTTCTTCCACATCTGAGCTTTCTCTGTCACAGCTTATGACTAATGCAACTACTAGAGTTAGTAAATGAGTTCACAGAAAATCAACAAGTTGAACTGTCTTCTAGCTGTGTAGAAAGACTTTAGGGAAGGCAATGAAGAAAATGGATACTCATTACAGAAAAGGCCATAGTAACACTGCATACCACCAGCTACTTCCTAAAACTAGTAAGAAAATGTTGACTACTTGAAATAAATTATTATTAAACAAGAGGTTCAAAGGATTTCAGTTTTCCTTATACTATCACCATTCACATTAGACCAACTAGTAAAGTCCATGTGATTACAAACTAATGGATACATTCAACAAGAAATACAAGTGCTAAGCCTTGCATCACTATATTCATGTATTGAAGGTTACATAAAACTCTTGAGAACTAATACTTCTGTTACATGTATAGTTCTGTGGAAAATAAAATTCTGGAGTGAGAACTGTAATGAAGAAGGCTGACAAATTCATTTTCGTATTCTTTTTGACCACTTTATGGGGGGGAGGGGGAAATCTTAAAAACTAATTAAATCTACGTCTATTCTCCAATTTCCAGTTTCATTTTCTTTGCTGGAAAAAAAGCAAATTAAAAAAGAGATTACTTAAACATTTTTCACTTGATTCAGTAATTTTTAAATAACACTCTCTATAGCTAAGAATATGTTCACCTGTCCTTTTCATAGCTTGTACCTTACGCTAACTTTCTGTGACTTTTCTGAAGGCTGAGTTTCACCTGTTTGTTTAAAACCTTGGGCTTCCTGATAAAGTTCGTGGGAGTTAACTCTGCAAAAAGATCATACTTCTAGACCATTAGCCTCACAAAATGTCACCTTTAATTGCATACATATTGTTAGCCCTGCACTTCATAACGATAATGAGACAGCAGTTATGTAAATACTGAATATGTGCCCTAAGCAATTTGTCCACAGCCTGGCAATATACAGCTTGTCTGACTTGAAAAGTACACACGCAGTGCCATCTAACCGAGAACTGCTAGCAAAGCTGAGCACTCCCTCCTGAGCAGAGCCAGGTGAGATGTGGCTCACAGGCTGCCAGAACACAGCCAGAAACAAGCCTTATCTAACTTTTATTGCAGTTTTATTGCAGCCTCCTGACCCCCTAACTGCAGTCAGCAAGCAAACTCTGAGTACTGACATCACCTATCTGAATAATGGATGCTCAGTGCCTAAAATCTGTTTACAAAGAAGCATAAGTTACCCTAAAAAGGCAGAAAAGAAGTAAATCTTTTTATAACTAACCCCTCATTAATCAAGAAAAAAAGCACAAATTATGTGCTAGATCATAGCACAAGACAGAGAGAGAAGGAGAAGGCACTGAAAATCTTGAACAAAAGCATTTAAATACTCTGAGTACAAAAAAGGTGTTTTGCAGAAGGTGAAGATGGCTCTGCACCACTTGATGATTTCTTGGGGGGGGACATGCTTCTAAACTACTTTCAAGACTGACCATAAAATAGCATTTCTGCTGTCATGCATATATAACAATTGAGCTGTACTAAATGTTTAACAGGAAACCACCCAACAATCCTTTAATAATCAGGAATGGAATAAGTACGCACTGTTCTATTGGGGTTAACTTTGTAAGCCAGCTAATGCGAAAAGTGTTGTAAGAATTGTCAGTGAATGTATGGAAATCACATAAGGAATAATATTTATGTTGAGGTGGTAAACTTCCATTGTGGAAGAAATAAAATTTGTCTAAAAACCTGGGAAATCACTCCAATTTCTGCACTACAGAAATAATGACGTGAAAAAAGAAGTTTATGGAAAACATAACTAGCTAAGGTCTGCAGCACAAATTTCAAAATTTTAAAAATACGGTTGAGAGAATGTACCATATTATTAAAATGTGCGGTAAAAAATGTAAGTAATATAGTGATATTTCATCATACACTGAAAATCAAGTATTATTTTACTGGATTAAACCAAAATATCTTCATTTACTATACTGCTATAACTTGATACATATTAGTAAGTGTCCCAGTAGTCATTTGTTACAGGCTAAATCCAAGAATGAATGGAAACAATGAAACAGTAACAAAATTGGTGATTTCTGAAATTTACAGGACATCGTAAGGACTTCATGTTGAACAGCTGTCAAAGAAGCAGCATCAATGAGTACACCCAAATTAATCCTATACCTCCACCAAAGCCTCCTGCTGTGATTTCTTCTTCAAAAACATCCGAGAATCCTCTTCCTGCATTTAATTTTGATAGCCGACCATCAATAAACTGGAAAAAAAAAAGCAAAGAAGGAAGTCACATTTTGCTGCCCCTTCTGTTAGAGACACATGAGCACATGGACTCACACCTATATGTAAGTGTACAAAGACTGAAATGATCCAAGTATGTCAGAAAAAGTCAAAATAAGGTAATTAAGGATGAAACACCTCAGAAGTATGAATACATTCTTTTCCAGTATTACCAGGCTTCAAAGAAGCACAATGAGCACATTCTTAATGGTTTAAAATTCTCTCAAGAAGCAACCCCTCCCTTTTTGTTTTGAAAAGGCTAACTCAAGCCTGAGAGATAAAGTGAGAAAGCATTTTTCCTGTTACACACAGTTCACCTTCTAGCAAGAGTTATCAGTTATGCACTGGTACTAAACAGTACGTAGGAACTAACCAAAATTAATTATTTGGCTATATCATGTTTTACCACAGATTATCCAAACAGTGTCAGTGACAATCTTATGTTTGGCAATGAACAGACTAGTGACATGAAACAAATTTCTTTCTCAGACCAGAAAATAATTCTAGCAGCAAGAATAAGGCCAGCACAAAGCTAACCATTTCTTTCTCTTTCTTGTCTAAATTCCTTATTTATTTTTTTTTTCATTTTACTCCAAGTTGGCTTTTCTCCAGATAGGTTGGTTCATGGTCAGACCACGCTGGGATCACTGGATTATTTCACAGTAAGAGAAAGAGATAAGAGCATCCTTAGCTACTGCTGTGAGGAAAAAAATCCAAACAAACCACACCACATACCTCCCATCCCCAGCCTTTGAACTGTAAGACATTATCTCTTTTGGGAAAGTTATGAATTCATTCCATACTATAAACTAACATAAGATTTATGGTCATACTCACCATTTGGTAAATCCTATCAACAGAAGGCTGAGACACTGACTAAATTTTAGAGGATCACTCCAACAGAGTATTTAATGTAAATACTGACAAACAGAACTGTTAGCAGAAAGATACTGGAGACATTATTCGGAAAGCTAAAGCCCTGATAGAATTAAATTTGGCCAGGGATGGCCAGGGCAACATGAAAAGTTTCTGTATGCAGGTTGGTGACAAAAGGAAGTCTAGGGGAAATGTGGGCCCTCTCCAGCTGGAAATGGGAGACCTGGTTATTCAGGACATGGAGAAGGCCAAGGTACTCAACAATTTTTTTTGGCTTGGTCTTCACCAGCAAGAGCTCCAGCCACACTGCCCCAAGTCACAGATGGCAATCGCAGGGACTGGTAGAATGAAGAACCACATGCTGTAGAAGAACAGGTTCAAGACCATCTAACAAACCTGGAGGTGCACAAGTCCATGGGACCCAATAAAATGCATCCACAGGTCTTGAAGGAACTGGTGGATAAAGTGAATAAGCTATTAACCATCATATTGAGAAGTTGTGGCAGTTCAGTGAAGTTACCACTGACTGGAAAGGCAAAACTTAACACCCACTTTGAAAATGGGAAAAAAGGAAGACATGGAGAAATACAGCTATCTCAAGAAATGCATTTGCATTGAGATCAGAGAGCCCTTAGTTGATTAGCACTTTCCATGAAAAACTAGTAATTCCAGTGCTACTCTGGGATTTTTAGATGACTATGGACAGAACTACCATAAAACGTAAATAATTTTTGTTTCTAAGAACAAAATATAGACCATACCCATTTCAGTAGATCTTGTTGCACAGGTGGTAATGGGTAGGGGAGGAGAGATTATGTTTGTGAGCTAAACCAAATCACTTATTTAGGCAGAAGTAAAAATTCCAAATCTATTCAACCATTATTAAAAACAAAAGTTAGTAGAAGCAAGTGCATCATCATAAATGTGATTTCTACACAATAACAGCTCAATAGCTTTCAAGAAGAGAGCTCAACTCGCAAACTTTATAAATGAAATTAGAAATTACTAATACTGTTCAAAGACTTCATATTCTTCAAGCCCTAATCCTGCATTCATTACATATTTTTCTAGTTAGCACTTTCCACCATTTTAGGAACACATCCCAGTAAATGCTGCAGATTACATTACTTATATAATTACATTATTTAACAAGATATTCTAGCATTAGGGTCACATTAGCACTAAGAATGAATTAATATTTTCCCTGGACACTCAGAACTGTGTGACAAGTAAGATGCAACTATTAATTGCTTACAGCTTGAAATACAGATTAGCTACCTTCAGTGCTACCCTCATGAAAGGGCAGCCTTTCTAAGGCTCTGAAAAAAGCTAATAAATAGACAACATACATAATAGTACAAATATCAAATATGTGGAAAAAAAAAACCCAGTGAGAAAAGCAGTAACAGAAGTATGCATTTAGTTAAACATTTAAATGTTTAAGTTATGAATTAAGAAATTAAATTAAGAAAACAAACATTTTGTCTGAAGAATAACTTCCATACACATAATATTTAATGAGGAAATAATATTTAAGGGAAATAATTTTAATATTATCAAATATCCTAATAGTTTAAGAATAACTATAACCAGGTTTTTTATTTGAATCTATTTAGAACAGGAAACAGCTTTAGAGAGCTAAAGCCAGCAAACTGAAGTTCACATGTCCCTGTAGTTGTGAACCCTATCAGGGTGTTTATTATAAATTACTTCTATGAATTCCTGGAAAATGTATGTTTTGGTTTATTCTCTACCAGAGCAATATAACCAGTCCTTTCAATTTCCAAAATGTGAAGTCATAAACCTGATGTAAAAGACATCTCTACAAGTCTGAGAGAAAGGCTTGAGGCTAAAAGATAACACAGGCATGGTCCCTGCTAAAAATATCCTGTTTCAGTTTTCCGTGAAGACTATGATGCTGAATAAGGGAATGAAAATAAGATGCTGAAATGGACATTATAATACCAGAGGAATAAATCTCGAGTAACGAACTCCCTAAATTCAGCTCTGATTCTAAGGAAGCCAGCACATACCTCTGAAGGTAAAAATAAATAAAGAAATAATTGTGTCCATCAAGGTAAAGGAAACACATTTAAACTGAAGTGTAACAGTACCATTACTTAAAGAAAAAAGGTTCTGATCAGAACTGGTCTGTTACTTGTCCTTTACAATTTGATGGGACTTACAAATAGATTCTGGGGGGAAAAAGAGTAAATGAGTAAACGGAAAGATATATTATATGAGTTATCAAAACTCTTGTCCTCACAGATTCTTTAACAGTTACTTTCCTAGATGAAGGACATGCAATTTACCTATACCCCAGAAAAATCTCTTTCATGCATCTCAAAATACTATTTTAGATTAAATAAAAGCAGAGTACCTTAATAGTACACCTGAACTTCAGGTTGGATAAGGACTGGCCCAAAAAGACATTAACAGCTTGTAATGAAAAAAACAAGGTATTTATGGGTAAGTGTGGGGAATGATCCTATTTACAGGTTAGTTAAAGGTTTTGATACAAAAGACTGGCATGCGCTAATACATTTTGGGCTATCATAAATAGAAAGAACATCAAAATTCAACACAGTAAAAACAAGATGATGCTGAAGAGGAAAATAATCTGAATCAAAGTAACACAAAGAGTTAATTCCAGAATTTATTCCAACAGTGATTTCCTGGTACTTTGGTGAAAAGATACATCTTCCAAAATTAAAACAATGATTGAATTAGAGGAATTAACATCTTTTAATATAGAGGATGGGCTGGGGGTTAAAAACTTACTAAGAAAAAAGGACAGAAGAAGCATTTTATAAAATAGCACAAATAAAGCTTACTCGTCAGTTATCTGAAAAAGTGCATTTAAAGTACCTATTTTCTTGCTTGGTCTAGATTTAAGGCAGAAGAACTGTTTTCTGTTTAAAAGTTTCCAGAACAAAGTAAAATACAGTTTAGTACTTTTGAGCACAAACAACTTTGAAAACAGCTCATTTGTCAATGGGAAAAACTGGAGAAGATGCAGCTGGGCTGAGGATTAACTGAAAAAGTAGGAGTAGCCTTTGCAACAGAAACTAGAGGAATGAAAAAAACCTACTATTAGTGGTGCTATTAAACCAAACACATCATCAAAATTGTTATTATTTCCTAGTCCTCTAAAATATATTATTTTCTCTAGCCGAAATAAAATTAAAACAAGCTATAAACAAACTGTAAACTGATTCTGCTTAATTGAACACATATTAAAATGTAATGGGTAAGTACAGAGCCACATTGACAAGCCCATTCGTTTCAGTGGAGTTAAGACTTTCCTAGGCTGAGGGTCTTGCTTTAGCAGCAATAGTGTGAAAATAATTTAGAAACATTGCTTGTAAGCAGCTTCCTATTAAGGAAGTTTCATGCCAGCCTATCACAGCGAGATATACAAAATATAAACAACACTGTTTACTCTATTATATCTTTCTTTTTCAGTGATGGGCTGGATGCTTCAAAAGGTTTCAGATTTATTCTTTATTATTATATTTTTACTTACATCTTTTAATGTATAAAATAAAACACTTTAAAATTAAAGGAGTCCCACTCTATGATCAGTATTTCCTTAACTTTCACACAATTAGAAGAAACATATTTCACAAGACTTATACAAACTATCATCCTTGCATAAATCTTTATGTTAGACACTAGCCTCTGATTAACACCAAATTTTTTTTTTAAATTAGAAGATTCTATGTATAATGAATTTCCCTTATCTATCAGGGCAGTATATCTTCAAAGGGGTCCACCAGCTTATTTAAACATGAACTCCTGTGCCTCAATCATTCCAGATACCTGCAGGAAAATATATACTTCTATGAGTAGTCTGATTTCGTTCAGATTTTCTTTAATTTTCGTTCAGATTTTCCTTGATTTTACTAAAAATCCAGTAATAAGATCCTTAACACCCTTTTGATGCAAAGCGGTAATGTAATGATGAGAAAAAAGAGTTACAGAATAAATACATTAAAAAAACTTAATTTCAAGGACTGTAACAAAACTATTACAGACATTCAACAATTTGCTCTTTATTAGCTCAAAATCTGCATTAACTGATCACCTAGAAATTCTTCAGGCCACCCGTATGTCTTGGGTTTGTAACATTCTCTATGCACATACTGCAAAAAGCCTAGCAATGAAAACTGCAATTACAGTATGAATCCAGTTTTTAAATAAAAGCCCACTGAAGTCCAATTTAAGTATGTTGTTTAGGTTCTTTGGTTATGAGCCAAGACAGCTGAAAATGAAGTTCAGCCATCAAGCTGGGAGATCCATGATTTTTCTTGTTCAGATAAGAAGCTGACTGGCTCTGAAGAGATGTTGCACTGGGTCTGCATCCTGAGGTTATTTTTCTGTTGAGTTCTCCCTCCCCTGCTTTAACTATAACTGGAGATTTAAAAATACAACAAAACTGAGAATACTTTCTGTACACAATGTACTTACAATTTATCCCAGAATTCCACAAGCTGACAGAAAGTAAAATGTATTTAAATATGTACATGTTTTACAAGTAAATCATTAAACATGGGTCATTTACCCTCTCGTACCTGTTTAAACAGTTGAAGATTAACAGCAGTTTCCAGGAACTGCTTAGTAGTACTGGAACGATGCTTCACAAAACTATTCTCACAGAATGTTACAGGTTCTCCCTAAAAAATTTAAGCAGGAAAAGTTAGATGGTAACTAGAGCACAGAAATATGCCTATTTATTTTAAACTCTCCGTTACAAAATCATTTATTAATAACCAATACATGCAATTATTCCCTTTCAAGCAATCTTGATAAACACGCATCTAATTAAACATATTTAGACAACAACAAAAAGCCCAAAATCTCCATACAATATTGAAATAGTTCTCAAAATACATTTTGCAATTGAGTGTCTGGTTTGTAGGCCTATAAACACGCACTGGAAGGAAAAATTAAAGAGGTTTACGTATGATTCAAGTTACCTTTACAGCACTCTTCATTAATAATTTCAGGGATGTGATTCAAACTTTGAGGAAGAGCAGGCCCATTGCTTCAAATAATTTCACATGCATTATTGTTCAGGGTTACTCTGATTCCCTGGCATGTTACTAAACCGTAACCCTAATTTAGACCAAAATATGTGTCTGCACCAAGTTGTTCTTACATTTACTCTACCAAACATGAGAAGATTGATAAATATATTTCTGATTTAACAGGACATTATTGAAAAAAATATTTTTATACAAAACAAAAGCTACAAACTTTCTGGAACATTGCTATGGAGAAAGTCTTGACAGATGAGATTAAAATTTAAACAATGAAATGTATTTCCACAACATGAGAAAAGCGCATAGCCTATAGTTACCAAAAACCCTGCACCAAAACACTTTGATAAAAGATAAAGAAGTACCCATTGAAAACTGGGGTTTTGTGAAAAAAATCACTACTGAAAACAGCACTTATTTAAAAATAAAAGACACTAATGATATCACTTACAAACAATTAAACTGACTCTATGCTAGTCCCTAATCTCATTTAAAATTTGCTAACTTTATTTGCACAGACCACTGGACATTTTTGATGAGCGTTCTCTCCAATACTGTTATTCTTGTCAATACTTTGCAATAGATACTTGAAGCTTTTTGGCATGACTGGATAGATTATAGGAATATTGCAAAGCTTGTGTAGTGATCAAAGTACATGAACTGATTTCATCATTTTCAACTGCTCTTCACACCTTGCACTTTGTTTTTAAATAGTTCAAGTATGATCCAGGGAAATGCTGTAAAAATACTGCAATGCCATTTCTTAATCCTTACATACTATCAAAAGCTTCCCTGTTTAAAGTCTCGCTTAAGAGGTCCAATACTATTCAGAAAAGTACTTAAGTTCATATTTAACTTGTTTTTAAGTTTTACATCCCTGCTTGTTTACAGAACCTCTTCAAGAAAAGAAACCTCCTGGGAAGAGCCAGAAGCTAATACATTCACCTAATGTAGCTCCTCCCCCCTCACTGGGTAGCTGGAATGCTGTGATATGCAAAGCCATCTCAGTGCTGCATGTAGCACTTCACTGATCAAGTCTCTAGGAGAAACAACCAACTTTACCTACTTCTTATCCCAAGATAACTCATGAAAACTGTACACATGCAGGACATGCTGGATCTGCCAAACAGATCAAAATGTTTGTGGTGCTTTAAACAGCAGTGCCTTCCTGACCCACTTTTCATTAGCTATTCATGAGCTCCTAAAGACTCTTGTTTTATGAAGATGACCCCAAGCTACTTAGCAAAAAGTGCACCAAAACAAATGGAGGAGTCTCCAGTGAGACATGGTGGTACAAGACACAGTGTTCCTGAGGGCAGACTCTCCTCTCAGTTCTGTAGTTCTTCCAAAAAGATTTCAAGGCAGCAAATTATAACAACTCCTTTATTTTTATTTTCATTTACATATATATGTATTGTTGCTACATAAAGAAATGTCTTCTGGAAATACAAAGGCTTTATGGAGTGCAGAGCTTACTAGATGATCATTCATGACATACTTTGAAACATGAAAGAACATAGTTTTCTAAACTATATTTTGTAAATAATGAAAACTAAGCTATGCTTCCACTGTCACTTTGCCAACCATCTTGGGAAAAATGAAAGAGAAAAAGGAGAGGTTATCTCTCAGCAGAAAACAGCATGCTTCCTCTCCCTTCCACATCAGCCTGGGGAAAGAAAGCAATCAGATAGTCACCCTTGACAGCACTTCTCCCCTGCCTGAGCCATACAACAAAATGCCAGGAAATGGCATTTTTGGTGCATGGCTGTAATATTTTCCCAAATACTTTCCTTTAATCACTGGATGCTTCAGATACTTAGCAAGCACTCATACACTGGTGTATGTTCCCTTATCAGTATTCAGAGACAGAATAACCAAAGCTATTCCTTAGCTGAAAATTTATTTAGATCTATAAAGACTTCACATCCAAAAGTCATCTTTTATTTGAGCCTCCTCATACCAAGGTTGCTTCAAAAATTTGAGTAAGTTTAAAGCTCCTACCTACTGAGCACATCAAAATGAGAACATCTGCTGACCTGTAGAAATTCCACACTGAAGTTTTCTCAGAGTATCTGTTGCAACTTTACTGTAACTGCACTAAATAATACAATTAATTTCTAGCTCTTTTATTTGTACAAGGCTCTGAACAACAAAATTGTTTTCCAAATAAAACTTTAGCAAATCTTCAAGATCACTAATGTAAACATGAAGACTTTTGAGGTGCTATTAAAAAATAAATTATTGAATCAATATAAACAAATATAGCTCTAGAAGTTTTTGTACATAAGGCTTATAATATTCTCACTTCTGCAAATACAACCAGGTACCTTTAGAAACGGTTTTGGAGGAATGCTCCACTGATATTTAACTAGTAGACCATCAAATGGCTTCTGTCATATTGATCTACAATGTACTTTCAAAACGAGTTCGATCAAAACCCAGTGGGAACTCTGTACTGAAAAGTAGACAGCTAATACTCTGACCAAACAACCTATGCCCAAACAGGATATCTGTTCTTTTAACAACAGTTGCTATAGAATTTTCTTCCCTTTTCATAGCTTGCCACACACAGCAGGAATTTCTTACTCTAAGCTACATTCACTTTTTAAGCAATCTATTTATACAGACCTCAATGGAACATGAGAACAGTGAGTTAAAACAGCATGATCATTTTAAGAGGAAAAATAAATTAGATTAGGAGGAATGTTTGTGCTTTCTAAATCTAGTGATATTTAACTTGAACAAGAAGTACATTTTAATTCTTTATTTCAGAAAACATATTGCTCTAGCATGAGATGACTCATATTTGTACTACTGCTATAATTAATACTGTTTCATATGGTAGCTCTTGTTTATTACAAGAAGAGTGTAAGGTTGGTAGGTATGGACGTAGCTTCTTCGGTTTTGTATAGTTTACTTTAAAGCAAAAATACCCCCACCAAAGTATTAAAAAAACATTTTTGTTCTGATATTAAAAGTCCTCTGTTTAAAACCAAAGAAGTACAAAGCTGAAATTTCATCTGCTATCATAACTTTCAGAGATAAAGGCCAGAGGATAACTGAGTATGACCTATGATTCTATTCAGGAAGGTGCTATTAAAAATTGCAAACAAATTTCTGCAAAATCTAAAAAAATCTGACAATCTGACTATTTCTTGCAATCTACCCAAATAAAAGATTCTGATGTGCAGATATTTCTTATAGTCATAATTCCACCCTGCAACAACTCCTATTAAAACAATAACGGCTACTACGGTCCTTAAGACAAATTAGACAATGTAGTTTTCAACATGTAAAATAAAATTTTATGGAAGTAACAATAAATAGCTATAATGGATATTACACGGGTGCTTCTGGATTTAAAGACAAATGTGTTCTGGCATTCCATTACTCTCTCTCTCTGTTTCTATACTGTGTTGTAGTTTTTATGCCTAACTCTTGGCAGAAAGGTAAAGAAGTCAACATCAATTGCATGAGATACCTGTCCTCAAACGATTTCATTCTGAAATTAAAGTATAAGCAATCATTTTATACATTCTCAAGTAATTCAGGTGCATTCTAAATATTGAAATGTAATTGTATTATTTTGATTTATTGTATATTGAATGCAATATCTGCATATGTTGGAGAGCCAATGTCAGTACTTGAAATAGTGTCAATATTGGCCCAAAGCACTTCAGTTAGCATTCAATTAAAGTGAGGTCTGACAGGTTGTGCTATCTTCGAGCTGGAAGTTATCTCGGCACCCCTGGCGTGCTGATGAAGCCATGAACTCCTACTGCTGAGCATTCCAGAGCAAGCCATTAGCCTTTGCTCTCCATTTTTTAATTTCTGATGAGTGATGTTACAACCATCATAACTTAAACCAAAGCTATCTAGGGTTCATTTCTTTTGTTTTAACATCAGGAGCTTTGAGGACTTTTTCCCCAAAAGAGGTGATACTTTTTCTATGACTTCATCTTTTTTTAGCTAATTCTTTAAAGAAAAGACAATTTTTCAAAGGCAGATAATAAATTACTGTTGCTTATATTCCATAATATTTTAACAGATGTGTCATAAAGTATGAGGATTTTTTTTATTTGAAATACATTTGAAAGGCATTTGTCCTACCATGATGAATTACCTTTTTTTTTTTTTTAAATAGAAAACCCCAGACCTGTATTTCTTCCTGACGTTTGTTTCTTAGGAGCAAACAACTTTTCTGCTCTATTCTCCTGATGATGTTAAAATTAATCTCTATCATGGGGAATACTTTTATAGTAAACATTTTTCCACTTCTTCCTTGTTCTGTTATTTGCCACTCCCTCTCTAGACATAGATTGGGAATATTGCCTGTTTAAGAATTCTTTACATCACATAGTGTTTTATTTACTGACTTTATTGTATCTGACTAATCAAAAAGATTTACCAGTGTTCACTTTCATCTCCTAGGTTTGCACAAGTATATATGTAAAGCCCATTTTCCCTAACCATCACAGAGCTGTTGAAATGCTTGACTGGCATGGGTCTTGTCTGATATGAGGAAGGGTGCCTAAAAATTGGCCAAGAAGCATGCGTAAAGTAAAATAGCCAGAAAAAAAACACAATGCTGCACATATATTGATTGACAAATTGACACAAACTGCACAATGTTAATCTTATATCTAACTCCCACCTACGCATGCAATTCTGAAACATAAAACATTCAATATTGTTTCATGATAAATTCCCAAATGTTGGACTACCTAAAGAAAACAAAAGCAACAAAAGGATCAAGGCTAAACTGTGACAATCCAAAGTATACATAATTTGAATTTGATGTATATCATTTGAATTTATACATTTACATTATGTAAGAAGCATTTATCTCACAATAGCAATGCTTCAGTAGGTTTACTCTTGTGGTCAAAACTGTGATCAGTGATGCTGCAGATGGCATAATGGCTCCCACTGCAGCTGCTAGCTGGGTGAGTACAGCCATGCACTGACCACTTGCCTTTCTATGTGCCAGGGCTCCTTATACCAAAACAGTTTGAATGACCTCACTGCCACTGCCAGACACACCCCACACCCCCCCATCACAGCATCTCATCCAACATCTCAAAATGGATTGCAGCCATCTACATGAATGAGGACATATGCAAAAACATTATAATTCACCATTTCACTAATGATATTTTGTTCTGGATTATGTTTTGGTCATTCACCATATTACAGTGAAGCAATTTGTTCAAGCATCCTCACCTAACTGGATTCCTTCTGGATTAAACACTAAAGCACAAATTGAGCTCCAGCTAGTCATGGGTATTCAGTATTCAACACCAGACTAAAATAAGAACCACAATAAACCTAGAAATGCACACTGTGTGGATATCAGTACTGTTTTACTCCATAGATCCACTCCTATTATGCAGTATTTGATAAGGTATGGTGTAGTATATTACAAAAATACTTTTTTGCAGTTATATCAACTTGAGCAATTTCTTTAATTCAGTATCATGATGAAATCAGATAAAAAACAACTATTTGACTTTTCTTGGAAAAGTTTACCAAGATATTTTTTTTATTATCTTTTATTACACAAACATATATGATCACCTTTATCTATTATATGTCAAATTTTCCATATGGCCTTTTGGAGTCCCACAAACTCCTTTCAAGACCCCTGAAGCTTCCCATTTTCCCTTTCACCAATTACTTTTTCAATAATTGCTAGACGTTTGTTAGAGACATATTGCTATACCGAGGAGAATCTGTCCTCTGCTGAAAACAAACAGTTGCACAGAATGGGTGTTCAGTATGATGAACAGCGTTTGGAGTGAAGTGTTGGATGAGTACAGACACTATTAAAGCTGTTCCTTACTCAAAGTGAATATTAATGACAGTTGTTTCATGTTTCAAGCTAAAATCATAAAGATCACACTGTTGCAAGGAAAACAGATCACTCAAACATAGTTTTCAACTTCCAAGCAATCGATAAGTAGCCAAATATATTAGTTTTCATCAGATGTTTCTGATCCTAAAAATGGCACCCAAAACCTCTTGGTGCTCAATTCTGAAAACCTGGCAAGCTTACTTACAGCAAAAGTACTACAATCTATACAGGAAAATATTCTCATTTAAGTATACCACCTACAAATGTTCTACATGAATTCTGTTTGAGCTCCTGAAAGAATGTAAATAAAGCCCATAGCTGTGGCTTAGATTTCCTTATTAGATCTAGCATCACAACCTCCAAAGCAAAGCTAAGGACCTTTTTTGCAATGAGTTTACAAGTTTTGCAATTCCTCAGAAATAGTGCTGATACAGTCAAATGTTACTTGTTTTTTTGAACTTCCCAATTCACAATGCATTAAACTGAGTTGAAACGGCACATGGAGAATGAGCTGAACAATCATGGGACAACTCCTCTTAGTTTCTACTAATCCAGAACAAAATTTCTATAAAATACTAAATTAGTTAAAACCATGTGAACACAGCTCAAAGTAATAATTTATTCTTTTTTAAACATGCTTTGTCTTTGGACAAGTTGATGTCAATCCAAGACATGCCAGTATTTGCCAGCTGACTTCTGCTTGTTGAGATATTCTGAAATAATTTATCTTAAAAAAAGCCAAAACAAACCCTATAAGGCCACAATGGTTTCATAAACATCTTCTTTTCTATTCAATCAGTGGAGGAAAAAAGAAGCCAAAACAAAAGCCCAACTAAAAGCAATACACACATACACACACACACAGAAAACTCAAAAAAAAAAAAAACCACAAAAAACCCCACACCAACCCTCCCTCCGCCTCAGATGGAACTATATCAGTAGTTTACAAATACTGTAAGAACCTGGACTGACTGATGAAATTAATCTCTTGTTTCTCATAAACTATTTTCTCTCTAATAGGCTCAATATGTGCAACCCTCATAAACCAGAAAGGATGAAAGTGCATGGCACATTCATCTACTACTAGCAAAATGGCAAATACAAAACCCCAAATTCTGATGGGATGCAATGGATTTTCATTTCTGCTAACTTCTCAGTGGAATCAAGATAAGCGTATGAGAGAAAAGATGCTTGTTTGACTCAATATGGCTTCTGCTTCTGGCCTCAAAGAGCAAAGTCTCTAGACCAGTGAAGCGACAAACAATGGAGTCAAAGGTACAGCCTCTTCAGTTCACCACGTTAAACCAGGTGAACTGCATGTTAGCAGTTTCATCAATACAATCTGATTTTACACTAAATAATTTATACAAGTGATACAAAAAAGAAAATAGCTGGCTGGATGAGTATTTATTTTTCAGTATAACTCATCGTCAGGAGGCGGTAGTGCCTTCTAAACTGCCAGCGCATCCTTAGCACAGAATTAAGATTTATAATATTTTCTCTGACTGGGCTAAAACACTTCATCTTTTTCTTGCACAGAATGAGACCATGCTCTCATAAATCAGTAAAGAAGTAAAGAAGTAAAGAAGAAGCCTTACTGGTTTGTATCTTAGTGCATCTCTGTAGGATCCAAACAGTGCTGCCTGTGCCCGAAGAAAGGCCTTGGCTACTCCATGACCCGTAGCTGTAGACTGCTTTTTCAGTTTATTTTTCAAGGCCGAGACCTGCACGACAGAGTGGAACAGTTAAATTAACACCTCAGAAATTGGTACAGCGAGGTACGAACCCAATCAGCAGGCAAACCATGGTGTCTACAGGTCAGCCAAAAATTCATCCTCCTCCTTGATAGCTTATCTTTTTAACTGCAAAGAGCACCTGCTGGTCTGTTAATTGAAATGAAAGCAGGGGATGATGGTAGAGTGCTAATGCAAATTGGTTTATGCTCTCTTTTTCCCAAGGCCTCTTGACATAAATAAGCTTAATTATTTTACAGTAAAATGCATGTGAGCCACTTTTCTGCAGATTTTTTTTTCAATCATAACATGTACCTACTTGTTTTGAATGGAGACAGTTGGATATTTTTTATTTGTGCTATAAAGGCTTATTTTTAACGACTCTTAATGGCCACTTTCTATTCAGTTTTAGGGTTTTTTTTAAAGTCAAATTACTGTCCTATATAACTTCCCATGCACCATGGGAGTACCTGCTACCACTGTTAAATAGTTGAGAAGTTTGCGTAAATTCAGTGTTACACTGCCTTTAGAATTGTCCTCAAAGATAAGAACATTTGAAAGGAGGGGAAAAAAAGTAACACCACCACTTAGGAGGCACCTGCAGTTAAAAAAAACCAAAAACAACAACAACAAAAAAACAACAAAAAATCAATTAAAAAATATCTATTTTAGTGCTTGATTTTTTTTTAATTTTTTTTAAGGAGGTCTTGTCTTTTTTTACTTGGCAAATGGCAATTGCTGATTATATAGAGTTGGGGGGAAAAAGAAAATTTAGATTTAGATAACTTACTTGGAGATACTTTGGAGAAAAAAACGTGTTATTCTGAAATGATGACAGTATTCTTTAAAGATACGTGGAATTAAACCCAGTTATAGCCTACATTCTCCTAATTTTCATCATGAGGGACATCGGGAGAGGTAGGTTACAGAGGATACATATTTCTACATCCTTTTGTATTGCAATATACCCAATAAAGCAATATTTAAGTTACTGAATACTATACAAAGCAATAAAGTTATGATTTAACAAAACATTGTAAACACAAGCTATCACCAGGACAGCTTTCGTTCTTTCAAAAACACATGCAAGAAGGAGTATCTTTTTGTTTCTTTATGCAAGCAGTCCTGACTGCTCTTGTAGATGATGACTGTAATTGAGGTGTCAGCCTAATTAACAACTAAACTTTGAATAATGCTAATGAGAACTGAACATGGCATCAGAGAAAAGACCAGCTCTACAGGTGATAAACCTTCATAGTAGTGACATTTTCCAGTGTAAAGTCACAGTTACTGTGATCTGATCAAAGAGAGAGACCCCCATTGGGTCCAATTATAACTATAGTTTTGAAAAAAAAAACTTATTGAGTTATGATGTTCATAATCTATGCAGAAAGGCCCTTACAGTATAGGTCTTTTCCCCATAGCTGTGATCTTTTCAATTTATATCCAAGCTCCATAGATCTAGATAAAAGTTTGGAGCCTGATTCGTTTAGCCCATGGAAAGCACACACCAATGCTCATTTATGTTTTTTCCTTACACCTCAAAAGAAAGAAAAAAAAAAGTACAAGTCTGAGTACAAAAATCTCTTTCACAGTTCAAGGTTGAAAAAATAAATGTACGGGTTTGGTTTGGTTTGGGGTTTTTTTGTTGTTGTTTTGAGTTTTTGCTTTGTTTGGGGGTATTTTGCCTTTTTTTCTGGATTGTATGATTATTTCAAAGTTATTAAAAGTGAGGTCAATTTAATCCCAGGGGAAATAAATGCATATATCCTTTGTAGAAGGGAAATCTGCCCATCAATGTCAGCTCAGTTGCATGAAAACATAAGCAGTAACATGAGAAAAAAAAAGAATTGTCAATCTTAAGATGTTGTCTCTGGCATGACAGACAAAGCCTAACTTTTCTAAATGCAAGGGAGGGAAAAAGTAAAAAATTCTCTATATTCTTTTAAGTCTGTATTCTTCTAAATTATACCTTGTGAGCTTGGGGGAAATTATGGCAGATGGTAAGACAAGAGAAGAAAGGAGGTAAAGATGATGTAAGAGCAGAGGATTTGTTGGATAATGTGGGAGAGGTGAAAGAAAATGGTATTTTCTGATTTTCTTAATTCTGGCAGGCTCTATGTACCCTAACATAAGTTGATAAACAGGATGCTTTAAGCAAAAAATTGTTATAAAGAACAATAGAAAGCAACCAATCCCCCGCTTCACTGCAGTATTCGTAAGTTATTAGTTCAGCAATATTAAGAACATCACAATGGGCTGTGGCAATTTAGAGTCAGGTGCTCCAGCACGAAAATGAATACATCAGATGCGTATTTTTGTGCTGCCATTCTGGAGGGAGTTTGAGCCTCAGAACTGCTATGCTGGAATTCAAAGAAAGTTCCTCCAACTTCTGCTTTTCTCAGGAGGTAATGGCAAAAGGCAGGAAGAGCTCTATTTGAGTATTCTGCAGAAGTACTAGGAGCACAGTGCTCTTAAGAAAAGGCCTCCAGAGATAATGTGAGCCACAACCCTGATTTCCCCATTGTCACAATTGGAGTCTGAGGCACCCTTGATACCTGCCTAGGTTTCCTTGCTGAAGTAAGCAAACATGGATGCAAAGGGACAGTGCTTACTCAGGGCTTATCCTAACACCAAGTGATGGCAAACCCAGCTGAACCTTTGGGTATGTTACCGGCAAGCTCTCCCAGCTCCACAGTTTAACCAAAGATAGAATGACAGTTATTACAGTCAACACAGTAGGTGCAGGTAAGAGACTGGGTGATTTGAACTACTTAGGAGGACCTGGTGCACAGCAGGATTGTGATTGCTTAGATCCATGAACCTAAAAACAAGACATCCCTTTGGTGACATTATTAATAGCTCTTAAGGTTTCAAAGAAATTACATAATTCTGACATCAAGCAAAAAAACCCACAAAACCAAGCACCATCTTTATCAAAATCTTTTCCTCATATATGATTTAATCCATCTACCTATGATTAAAATGCCAAGCTTCTTTCCTTCCATTCTTTGCATGCCTTAAGCAAAAATAGCCTTTTACAAAGTTGAAAAAGAAAAATAACTCAAAAAACAAACCACAGGGGTTAGAATGCTGTTAAAAGTTATTTATGGAAGACACTAGGAACCCATTTTAGAAATGGTATTATTAATTTACACTAGAAGCAAACAGTTTTTATCTTCTCCTAGCAACGGCTTCTCACAGAACGGTGGCTTCAGTGGATTGCTAAACACTACCAATGAAGAGCAATCGGAGCTTCAGGAGTGTTTAAATCAATAGCATAGTTTTTCAGAGATTTATTAAGTCACTATACTGATATGTGATTTAGCTTTCATATGGAATTAAGTATACCTAAATTGTAGAAACATATTGTGTTGGTCATCAAAACAAAAAGCAACATTTTTTAAAATAATCACCCTATGTCCTTTCTAAGATTCCTAAAATATAACTATCTGATCAGAAAAAAAGCATGACTAATCTCTCCAATATCAATGTGAGCAGAAGAATAGAACTGTGCATAAAGTTAAACAACACATTAATAATATCATATAACTATTACTCAAAGCCTTTGCTCCTGCAAAAACTTAAGCATTCAAATTTAAGCTCATATAGAAGTCTTCAAAGCATTTGTTGCCTGAGAAGTGCGGAACTATGCACTGGGGTTCTCAATGAGTACCAGATCTCTGAAAACAAGATATCCAGGTATTTCTCTGGTATCAGTGACAGTTATTATGCTTTAAACTTTTTTTTTGGTCATTCCCCAGCTCATATCACTATGAAATTAAGCCTGCTCTCCACAGCGAGAGAGTGAGAGAAGATAGCAGAGAAACAAAATAAAAACCTTACAACAAAATGGAATCTGATACGATTTAAAATCAATAGTGTTAATGAAAGGGCTTTTACATCTTTGATATTATCTACAAACACAGAATTTCAACATCTCAGAAAGCCCTCCAGCATTTAAACACAGATACTTGTTTAGATGAAAACAACTAAATACAAATGTTTTCGAAATTAGTTGTACTTTTTAATCTCGTATTCTACCTTTTAAAACTACGTCAAGGCTCAACAGGATCTCAGCTTAAAGAATTTATCCAAAATGATCAGTTGCCTCATAACACCGCAAACATAGAAAACTGCTCTGAGTTTCTAAAATATATTAGAAATAATTCTGGCTTTTTTTGGATGGCAAAACCACAGTAAATTATAATATGCAAACTTCACAAAAAAAACCCTTCTTCAGTTTCACTGCTATGTGTTGACCATAACTTCTTTATAATATTACCAATCATTGTATTTTCAGAAATAATTTGCACTCCCAGTAATTGTAGTAACTTTAATTTTCTATGTCAACTACAGCCTACTTCTCAAATGCTACTTTTAGAACATTAATGTTCAAATGCCCAATTAAACAGTGTTAAAATCCCGTGACTTTAGGAATCTCAAAACTAAAACTCCAAAACCCTGTTTAGATTCTGTATTGCATGACAGTAAGCACCACATGCTGCAAAAGCTACGCACGTTTCAACAGCTCTATAGATTTTACTGTTAACAATACTTAATGACAAGAGAAGATCCTAAAAACCTCTAAAGCCTGAAAATCATATGTATAAATTTCTGCTTTGACTATGAAGAAATCAATTAAGACTTGGCTGCTAAAAGCAATGCCCTCAATTCTCTAAGCTTTTTTAAAAAGCGTTCAAATTTGAGCAAAGGAGTAGTCTTTTTGTCAGTTACCTGCAAGCAGGTATTGCAGGATCAAGCCCAAAGCTTATAAATTTTTGTCTATGGTGTACACTAATGCATATACACTACAATTGTTCTTTTTTTAATGTCTTACATTATTAAAGTGGTGATCTATGTATTATTGCATTAGGAAATTTACTCCAATGAAGTCGCTACGTATTTGCTTTTTTTTTTCTTTTTTAAATTATAAAATAATAGACAAATTCACAGTGAAATGATGAAATTTAAAAACAAGTGTTCTTGTCAGAAGAGACGAAAAAGAGGGATTTTCCCCCCTCTAAGAAAACAAAGGATTCCTGAAAGTCTTGCACTGATTTATTTTTCCAATTTTAAATACTTTAGGAGTAGCGGAACTGCTACTGGCATGGTAGTATTTCTAACAGTCAATAAATCTAAAATATTATGTGTGAATATTGGAATGAAGCCATTAAGAAGATTACAGCATGCAACGCAGCAGAGGGTCCACATGAAAAAAGGACTGGTAATTCAGGACAACTGTGACCACTGACCTTTGCACAGTCAAGACCACTGGTCAGTCTGACAGAATAATAGAGTTCACATGCATAGAAAGTCATCTAGCCTGTAACTATAATTTAAATGCTTAAGTGAATGATTTAAAAATGCCTTTAAATCTCAGTTAATTTATTATACAGTTTATTAGATAATGCCATATAATAACTTTTTTTTCAATCTTAGATTTATCGTGAAAAAATACACAATCAGAGCATTTTAACAGACATATTACTTATACATGGGTAACCTATTAAATACCTATGCTGTGAGGACATCATCAGGCTTACTGATCAAAAAAATAATTACTCAATTTCCTTCAAACACAAGAAACAGTTTTGGAAAACTCCTTAAAAATACAGCATTTCGTTTATTAGGCTGAAAACTAACCTGGAATCAATTTTTGAAAGGGACAGTAAGCTTCTTTTATCCTTTCAGTTCTTCATTCTATTTTAACACTTTTCAGAGGTACTCACCATATTTTTTCATCAGAAGTTTTGCTGCCTTTGTACATTTACATACATAAAAGTTTATTTATATATGTTAATGTGTTTCACATGCAAGTATCTTTGACATTTGTTTTAATGTTTTAAGTCTAACTTACCATTTTGACTCTACACTCTTACGTCTTAAACTTTTTAACTGACATGGTAGCAGCTGCACTGGTCCTCATGAATGCAAAAGGAGGACAAACATGTTGTCATTTTATGAGCCAAACACAGATATTTTCAGTGCCTTTTGTTCCCAGGTTTTCCCACTAAAATTGTACATGTTTTCCATTAAGCTGTTTTAATTAAAGTGCTTTACAGACTGAAGTAGAGGAATAGATGGGAATATTCAAATTAAAAGCTTCATTATAAACCCCTCAAATTCTGCAAATATATTTATAGGTTGCTCAGTTTTTTTGTATATTAGACACCGAATCAAATATTTTAAGTCTACTGTATAGCCTGTACACTTGGATAACCTTCATTAACATTAATAATAGTAACATGCATATATCCTGGGGTAGAATATACTTCTAAATGTACAAAGATCTGTATCCTTATTTTCTTCATGCTAGCCTACTCATTTAAGAGATCATTCCAATATGCATCTATAAAATACATGAGAAGTCCCTCTCATTGCACAAACATTCATTTTTCCTGTTTGAAGGACCTCCAGCTACACCTCCAGTATCTTATGGAAGATGACGCCTAATTCTCAATTCTGCATCCAGCTATTATTTGACAAGAGGCATGTTCCTCCATGCCATTATAACCTCAACCTCAGACAACTGAATGCAAGGTCAGTTAAAATTACTGACACACCAGAAAAGACTCATTTTTTCCTTAACTGGTTATACTCTTGAACAATAGAGTACAGGCAAAATTACTGTACCTACGTGTAAGTGTATATGTTTGTATGCTTTTTCGGACACTAACATACTGAATCAGAAGAAAGACTGAACAGATGACCTATTAAAAATCCAGATTTTAACATGATTAAACTGAAAGGGAAATTACATTAGTATAATCCTCAAGAGTTTTATTTCTATTTTAATAAATATACACAAATCACCAACAAAACCAGAAGACATAGTATGTCACTACAGCACCTTAATTTGATTAAGAGAGTTAGGTTTTATGATTTACAATTTCAGAAAATGTAACTCTTTGATTTCACATTTTCATATAAAATTCTTTGTCTCAACAACCATTTGTGATAGCTCGAGCATCAATAACTAAATACTCAAAACAGTGGTTTCACAATGAAATGCTTTTAGAGCTCTATTGGGAAAAACAAGGTAAGTGAATTTTGTGACTATTTAAAATGATATACAGAGTATGTTCCCCTATAGGCAATAAGGATTAAAAAAAAAGGGGGGAAGGGAGGGGGGGACACCCTCTGCAAGATCAAAGTCCAGAAGGAACTGGCACTTAATTTATCATCCTTTACAGACAAAAGACAGTTTTCGTCATTTCAAAAGGATCTGATGTCTTTTATGACAAACTGGGTTTGCAGTTTAATTTACAAATAGAATTCTAAGTAAGCAGTCTTTGCTCTGCCAAAGCAAATGACAAACAGTATAGGTTTACATTCACGCAGCCCTCAGCAGGATAGAAGAGATTAAAATAAAACTGAAATAATTTAGAGAAAACAAATAAATGTTTCAGAAAGTTGAAGAAGATCAAAGCCTGAATTTTCTGACCCCAACTGTACAAGCATTTCTTATTATATTGACCACTGCCATCAGATCATTAATTAAAAGGAAAGCGCTGGCAGGTGGCAGGGAAGCAGAAGCCGATAATTGGCCCCCTTCTTCTTTTTGCCTTCAAAAACTCTCGTTCTTTTGCAAGACATGCCACTAGGCAGACAGAAATGCCTACTTTGTAATATAATGATTAAGATGAGATGAAGAGACTCTTGCGTTTAAAGCAGCTATGCCTAATGAATGCAGCTAGCTTTATAATTATGATCCTACTTTTACAATGAGAAATATGATGTTCCATTCAACGTCTCCTCAACTGTCAAAAAGCTAAAAATCTCAAATGTAGGGGTCTACACTTGGTGCTTTTCACCCCCTTATTCCTTTTATACCAGCAAAACCAGGCAAAAATAACTACTAGTAATTCAAGCATCTATATAAGAAAGAAAGAATTAAATACCCGTAAGACTCACCACTTCACCAGGTAGGTTGTTCAGGTCATTAAAAGGGGTTTCTAGAGTGTTTGTGTCAACATTTAGCAAAACCACATCCTCCAGTGATCTGTTTTTCACTCTCTGTTAAGAGGAGAAAAAAAAAAAAAGAAAGCGGAAAAGCATTTTACTATGGCATCCTCAGGAACTGCATTTTTGTTATCATGGGCTACATGATAAAATGATGATTCTACAAAGGACAAAAATGGCAAAGAATATTCTGAGCTTTACATGCAGAATTTGTGAATTAGATGCAGGATTCAGAGAAGCTTTTAAAAACCGTTCCTCTTCAAACAGTAAGGTTATATTAATAATCTCTGAAATATAAACACATTCAATAAATGAATACTTGAAAACCAAGATTTACACAAAGCACAATTAAATATATTGGAGCTATACATATCTTATAACAACACTTCATTCTCTCCTATTTGTGAAAATCAGATAGGATGTTAAGTATACAATCAGATGAAAACCAGAGAAAACTAAGTAATTATTTACAGATTTATGTAAGTCCCAAGCATGTGACACCTACTAGTATTATAGAAAAATGGATGAACAACCTTCCATCAATAGACTTGACTAGCAGCTAAGAATTAAACAATTTTTTCCTTTCAGGAAAAAAAAATAAAATGATGGAACTTTTTTCTGTATGGTCCTTGAATAATACAGAATAGTGCGGTCAAGGAGGAATTGGATGACTTTTTTTTCCAGAGCAAGGCTTTCTGTTCCATTATTTTCTGATGGAATAAGGAAAAAGATCCTTGTCAAGACACTACAATCTGTGTACGGAGGTCATATGAACCTGATTTGAGAGAACATAAGGCTATGCCTAGAGTTAAGAAGCGTACATGACAGAAGGCTCTTTTCTGGAAACACAAAATGCTAGTGGCTCAGACTGGAGGAGATCCTACCTCATCAGCTTAGGAAATGTGAGTTGCGCTTTAGAAACTGCTTTAGCAGAAATGTAAATCAAATAAATTTCTCTAAGAAATTATCTACTCTGCATGATAAACAGATTTCACACACAGGCTTAATGGTGTCATCAAACGGTTATGGATCGAGGCAAAGCTATTTATGACGCAGCTATTACTTACCTCTCAGGTGAGTTCTATTGTTTCATTATATGTTTTAATCCAAAACGGCTACCTCTTGTTTTTTGGCAGAAAATGCTCAGTTGTAAATTAATAGTTATGAAAGTTATGGGCTAAATTTTAAGAGAGACAGAATATAAATTATCTTGGAAATCAGAATGATGATGAATTCTGATTCATGCTGACTCCACAATAAATTTTAACTTTTATCATTGGGAAAATCTTTTGCTGAACCACTAAAAAACACTGGAAAAAACCTATCATTGAGCTATTAAGATAGACAGAGGAAGAAATCATGATGTAGAACTTACATGTGTCCATAAAATGCTTCAAAAGTAAGATTTCAGAGAGAAATTTTTTACTTTGCAAAGCACCTGAGACTTAAATTCTGTATGTCTCTATGCAGAGATTTTTCCAGAAGCTTGTCCACTATCATTTATGGCACACACACCTCAAGCTTACCAGTATGCAGAAGTGAATAGTAAACTTACCTCTATTAAGCTTAAGTGAATGCCAATTAGATAAGGCATTGGTGCACTGAAAGAAAAAAAGAGGAAAAGGTCAAGTTTTAAGTACCAACTAGTACAAAACAGGTGGAGCAAAAAGATTTAAAATCTTGGAGCGTAGAGTCCTTATTTATCATTCACTGTTCAGCATTAAATTAAGACAATTGCTACCGAATTTTTTACTAGACAAGGGTATTTATTTATTTACTCTGCAATAAGCATGACCACAAAATCAAAGGTAAAGTATGAGTGAGAAGATGTATACAGCTGGCTAACCACTTTGCCATACTGCATGGCAGAGCTAGCCTGGTAGCTGTTCCAAAAGCGGTCTGTCTCTAGAACTACACTGGTTTTAAAACACTATTCTGACGAATATTCTACAGGTTAACATCACCACACTGCAACCCAAAATTAATGCCACTTCTGATTCTGTGTGTGCTTCTGAAAGCCTTCCTTGGTGGGTGCTTGCAAGCTGTATAGTATCCTGTCTAACTTCAGGTAGTAAACTTCTCATTTACAATTTGAATAAGACAAGGAACTATGCTCTCAAAATAAAACAAATATCAACACAAAGCCTCTGGAGTGAGACCTCCTGCAGTATGCAAGCAAGAAACTGAATTAGTCAGTCTAATTCATCATGGTTTCCTATAATCTTCTCTTTCTTGATCTACTGAGTGTGTTCTGACAACATCAGGTTGAGAATATATTCAGTATCCAGTGCTGAAGGGAAAAAAAACATTCAACAATCACCATTACACTTTTGAGTACTGTGAGATTACTAAACATATTCACGCCAGAGAAGCAAGCAATACAGAAGATGGTTTAAGCAACTCAGTGGGAAATTAAATACTAAGAGACCAAAGAGAAAAACACTGAATAAAACCATTATCTGAAAAAATAAATGGAAGATAAGATGATTTACACAAAGCTACACAGATAGTTGACATATAATTGTATCATAATCTCCCGTTGTATTAATAATAATAAAACATAATAATAATAAAACAATAATCTCTCATTGTATTAATTTGATCAGGAATCTGAGCCACTCTCTGGCACCAACTGATTGGTGATTGACTTCCTAAGGCCCAAGGAAGGGCTTCACTGCGTAAGCTCCCAGCGGCCTTCTCAATTTGGTCCCACCTCTAGGTAGAAAAGTAGCAATTCTCACCTGCCTACCACTGCTGTCAGTTTTAGAAAAGCCTACATAGCCTATGGGTTAACCAGCTGCTCTCATTAACAGGAGAGGAGAGGTTAAAAGAAACAAACTAACAAAAAAATAACAAACCCATAAAACAAAACAAAAACAAACAAATAACCCCACCAAACCAAACAAAATCAAAACCTCAAAAAAAAAACCACTAACAACCCCTCGAAAAACCCCAGACAAACAAAGCAACTGACTGGGGTCAAAATAAGCTTTCATCATATTTATACTATCGCAATAAGGGTTTGCTGAGACTACAAACTGGTATGGAGTAAGGTTTCTAGGCAATGGGAACGCCAGAAAGAAAAATGGAGAGCCCTCTGTCCCCACATATATTTTTCTTAGGCCAACACCGCAAAAATTTTTGTACCTCTGATGACTTCTTCCAGTCTAAGACCTTAAGCCTTTCTGGATTAAACACAAATTACATGGAATCGTACAGAGCAGACACACATTTCTATTCAGAGAGGAATCGAACAGCTTTAAACACTCTCTAATTTTAAGAATGCTTTATACTACATAACATTCAACCAAGCTAATGGGAATGACTATGTCTGACATGTAACAAAGGATTCATATGCTGAATATGAAGCAAAATGCATCCTCAGGTTCATCACATCAGAGTATCTTAGTGTTACAAATAACATGAACTGGAGAAACTATAGTGAGAACAAGTGCTATATCATCTGTGCATTTTATGCACAGTTGTTTCCTTGTACACCAACACTGTTCTAGCAGCTTCACCAGGCCTGTACTGACTTAAAATAGCTGACAACTTGCTCCACTAATAAATCTGTCATTTAAAAGGGTAGCGTATACCTCTTTTCTATAGAACAAAGCAACAGCTACATCATTTCAATTTTGAGAAGTTAACAGAATAAAGGTACAAAGCTAATTAGATAAACATCTTAAAAATTCAGGAAATAAAAATTGCAGGTAAAAGCCTATTTGATCATTTTCAGCAAAGAATGACTTTTATTACTGCTGGATTCTGAAGCCTTAACAGCAGAGTTTTGTAATATGTACATGAAATTGCTTACTATGACACTATTGGGAGCTACTATATAGTTTTCCTCTTGCTTATGCATGTTACTACCAAAAATGTTATTAATCTACAACATCATTGGCTAAAATAATTACTATGTTGTAATAAAAAGGCAAGTTAATTGGAAAATAATTGTGCCATTCTTATGAAAACAGGTGTGCATATAGCCCAATTCCGAAGAGACCAAATCTCATAAAAAGATATGTTGTAATTGCAACTTGAATTTTCTAATTGCATTATATTCTTACCACAGCATCAGTAGAACAGATGCTTTATCATGCACAGACAAAGCTGTCATACATTTTTATATCAGTGCCTTAGTTTGCCAAGAAATTACATAGAAATTTGATGAAACTGGCTTTCTCCTTCAGAGGAATTTATGTGAATATAATTACTATATCAATGCTCAAACTCAGTTTTTATAAAAGCTTTCTCAAAAGCCAGCTATCTACTGGGCTGAGCGTACCAGCATCTTTTTGCTTAATTGCAGAAGAAAAACCAATTCTTAAAACAATATTCAGAAAACTAGATTTTTTAGTTAACTGCTTTCAGTTTTCTTCCTCTAAAAAGAGGAAAGAGCAAAAATGAAAATTACTTTCACTGCCTAATATTTTGCTACCTTTTAGAAAAAGAAATGTCTTTTTTTTTTCCTTTTTTTTTTTTTTCTTTGGATAGTTGTTCCAAGTCTCACATTGGAGGTCTCATAATGAAATTCAAGGCTGAAATAAGCTATGGGGTGGTAGGGCTGGAGGGAACCATCCTGAAGCAAATAAATACACAGCTTGTTCACACACCAGACCTTGAAAGTACTCATAACCCGGCCAATCCTGATGGTGTCACAGTCCACACTGATACTCAGTTTTCATGGGCTTGGACTGCTTTGTGAACATCTGTTACATCTAAAACCAGTCCGTATATCAGATTGCCTCATTAGAACCTAAGACGCATTTTGATTAAAGGCAAATGGAAGAATTTAAACAATTTTTAATATAAATCAGCTTTACTGATCTGCAATAGATTTAAATGTATTTAAAGTTTGTTTAGAAATAGCCTTCCTCACTTAGAACAAACAAAATTATCAAACTGATACTCATTTGAGCACCATCTCAGAACAACACCAAGAAAATGAGAGTTCCTGGGAGACATCCCAACAAAGTCCAAGTGAAGCAATGACAATGTAGTTTCTAGGTATGAAAATGCACGTTAAGCTAAAAAGAAAAAAAACACTTTTATAAAAGAACTTTGCTCCACCAAAATGACATAAAAATGAAAATATAAAAATTATTTAGAAAATTACTTTATTAACTTTAGGTTCACACAATCCTCTTTGACTGCACACTAGGTCTGGTCTAACATAAAATTTGACCTTATGAATTCATTAAGTTTTCCTAACTTGATATATTACATACCTATGAGGAAAACACTTCTTTACAGTTAATATGCTGTAACATAAGGAAAGGTAAGTATTTCATACGGTTTTGCTACATTATTCCAACCTGCCTCACAAAAGAGCAATTCAAACCCAGACATGATCAGACAGAGAAATGTAAATGCACGAAAAATCTGAGTTAAAAGGTCTGAATTCTAGTTACTGTGGTAAATACATCAGTTGTGCATTTCCTTTCATGAACTTTGTGTCTCCATTAGAACATCTCTAAAAATGTGAATTTTTTTTTCCCCACTCTTATTGTGCTACTGTGAAAAAGAGATATAAATGAGTTTTACAAGTTTAAGAAACTCCATGCTTCTTTTTAATGAGTAAAAAAATTCTCAGGTCACGCCACAATGACCTAGAATCTCAACTATTATCATCATCACAAGAAGCTGTGTACAGCATCTAACATCATTATTTCTGGAAACATTATCTGTGCTTAGGAGGGCAAATAAAAAAATCTTCCAGGATTCAGGATGCACTCTGCAGGGTACAGCTTGAATAGAGGTGTTGATCTACACAGCATTTATGGATGATACTGAAGAAATTACAAAGCTTCTGGTGGTAAGCTCAAGCAATACAAAACCTAAACAAATACATCGAAGCTCTACTCCCATTTTGGTGAATTTTATCAAAGCTAGGAGGAAAAACAATTAGGACAGAGCTTCTTCAAAAGAAAACTATCATTAAAGATGAAAGGCTTAGCTATAGTTGAAAGTAAAGGGAGAAGTGGGAGAAGAATATTTGATTTCGTTTTGAAAACAATAAATAATATACACATTAAGTATAGGTACTACAACAGAAGAAGCTATACCATGGGCAAATATTGTAAACTTGAGGAAAAAACAATCAAAGAGACATAAGGAAACATAATGAGAATTTCTCTGAAAACAGTAAGTTCAATAGACTGGGTAGAGTTCAACGGCACATCAATACTTATAGGCTCCAGGAAAAAAACCCAACCAACCAAACAAGAAAAACACTACCAAACTACCACAAACATACAGCCCAGCAAACATACAGGCATGATTCATTTCTGTGAAGAAAAACATTAACAGAAATGCAGACTTGTGTTGGTAGGCATCCGATTTGGACTCAGGTTTTATACATAAGAATAATTTCTGATCTCTAAAATTACTTTAAATGGATCATTTTTCCACCACAGATCCATAGGGTCTAGTTAAAGTGAAAGTCTCCAGGGATGAATACTCCTGGTTTAAGTACTTTAATGGAAAGTTTTATTTGATATCATTGGCACTACTACAAATAAAAGACAGTAGATGTCTTCTTAGCCTGAAATCCTGAAACACAGGCATCCGGAAACACCATCCCTTGAATGACCAGAAGTGACTCAAAAGGTGATTTATTTTTTTTTTCTTGTTTAAAATTTGCCAAAACCACAAAGTCTATAATGTGAATAGAAGCACAACAGGAAAAACAGAATTAATAATGAAAATTTCCTAAGTACCAAAAGGAGACTTTAAGCTCATTTGGGAAGGTGCTGGATCTGATCATGAACCTGGCAGAGTCTAAAATACGAATATTAAATTACTGTATAGTCCTAATGGGAACATTGATTCCTACTAACATCTGATTCTTGAATAACTGATCAGGTTTTGTTCTCTATACTTCTATCAGTATAATTTATCTCAAGTTAAAATAAATGCTGAATAAAAGAAAGCCATAAAACAGTCACATTTAAATTACTGAATGCATTCTCTAACAATAAAACAGGAAGAGTTTTTATAGACATGATTCTAAATGCTGCATTGATAACAATAAGCACTGTAATTCAAGGTATCAACTCAAACACCATGTAAAAACATGCTGAAATAGCTCTGTTTTTTAAGCACTGGCTCAAGTATTTTCGTAAACTGGATCCAGTCTATTCAGTCACATAAGTAGTTAGTCTTTACATCAGTAACTCAGAATTACAGAAAGGAAATAATCTCAGAAATGAGGGTAACAGGTTAGCTGTCTTACCAGCAGTAGTCCAGAAGATGTGGAGGAAGCACTGGGATGTAAATGTGTTGCCAATACATTGGATACAACAATGCAGCTGACGCATGAACACAAGCAGTTAACTAAAAATAAAAACACACACACAGAATTTGCAACAAAAAATATGAATCAAAAGAAAATACAAAATATTAAATTAATTTTCAGACATGCAAGAATCTTAACCTCCCCCAAACACCTATTACAGCACTCTTTAAATTACTTATAAGTGCTGAAATGCACTGATGAAGAACTCGGATACACACATACAACATTTGCAAGAAGTCAGGCTAACAAGTGAATTAAAAGGTAGACCTGCTCAGCTATTTCCTCGAACAAAGGAAAATAAACATGCACTACTTGATGCTTATCATGCTCAGATGCAGGTACTGCCATGAACACACACAATTCAAGCGTACCCCAGCTGCACTCAGCTCAGCTGAGCAGGAAAGACTCAGCAGAGCTTTTTGGTTCACACTTCCACTGTTTGGAACAACTGGAATTGATCTTTACCTGCATGAAGCTGCAGAAGAGCACTAAACACAAGAACAAGATTAACTCATGTTTTAAATAAAGCTGAAGTCGGTGTTCCCTGTGACAGCAAAGCAACACTTCATTCTGTTGGTTTGTTGCTTTTTTTTTACAGTTTTCCAAAACTCCCTTCCCAAAGTAGAGACTGCCAAGGCTGGTGTTAGCATTGCCAAAAAATGAAGGACTCCTTAACCAAGAAAGGTGTTACAATCCATTTTCCATACAAAATGGACACCCCTGTTTTTCTAAAACAAAACGGCAAACAAAAAAACACCCACTGCCCCCCAAGAAAAACCTATGAAGTGATTAGAAATGAGGTCAAGTTCAGTTCTGAAGTGACCAAAATAACCTGCAATACCTAACGAATTCACATTTGATCCATCAAATACCACTTTGTTATCAGGGAGTCATGCAGATTATTTTATTATGCAGCCACAGTTACAACATAATGAGGAAACATCAAGACTGTGTCCAAAATAAGGCAGCCTGCACCCAGCACATGAAACACTACACACTCCATCTAAAAATAAAAATAAAGAAAAATAAAAAAGGGAATGCCCATGTAGAAGTCACCAAGCTTATGGAAAAAGACAATATTGTCCTAATGTTTTATATCACACCAAAATTACTGTCTGAGGTTAAGTTGATAATAGCAGTGTTTATTACACTTGTACTTTCATAGTAACAAAATAAAGAGCTAAAAATAAAACGTAAATCGTGTCCCTACAGCAAATGCTAAACCAGTATGGATTCTATAGGGGAAAAAAAGAAAACCTCTTTGTGGAACAGAGCAGCAGTTAAAGCTTTCATTCCCTGGCTGTCTTGGACATTTAGACCTGTAAATAAAATTTATACTGCCATTTTGTACATGTATTTTTATACTAAAAATGAAGAAAAGTAATTGTAAGACCATTGCAGCAAAAATCTTGGACCATTACAATTTGTGCAGCATAGTTTGCTCAGCACTCAGATTAATATAACACGATTAAATATGGAAAAGAAGAGGGTCTGAAAGCTCCTGAGGGATATAATTAGGGCAAATTGCCAAAGAATGAAACATGAGCCAGTCAGGAGAGTCTGGAAGCTGCAGTAGTACCAAGGGACTTGAATGTTCGACAGTTGGAGCTCCAGTAATGTGTGAACTGCGGGTTAAGGTATCAGGAGACCCTGTTCACTGACACACAGAATGTCACTATTGACCAGCGAACTGCCCAAGCCTGACAGCTACACTAAGCCAAGTATATCATAATTCTGTATTTAAACTCTTTGTTTCAAATGAGCATCTCATTTCTTACTTTTACATTAAACCTCCACAATTACTCTCATTTTAGACTTATAATAATGGCTGTTTTGTTACTAAGAATTAATTGTTTGGGGGGAAGAAATAAATGAGTATCTTATCCCCCTTCTACACAGTGGGATTTATGAGTTTTATTTCCATATTATCTAACACTACTGTGGCACAGTCAAGCTCAGCATCATCTTTTTTTTCTCTTTTACTCAAAATGGATATGGAATTACTAATTAGTATCTTAACATACCATTGTGCATTGTATATAAATTTCAAGCTGCATCTATCTATATAAAAATTAGCATTTTGTGTATTTCAATCACAGACTGAAATAAAGCTGACCATACATTATCACAGATATCCCCCAGTGCATACAGTTGGCTCCTCCTCCCTCTTCCTCTTAATCAGCATTCTTAAATTATGAATCAAGATGATTGGACTATTTGCATGAAGAAGTATTTCCTATCTTATGCATATCTCTGTTATATTTTAGTTATCACTTTAACAGGGGAAGTGGATAATTCCTTAAAAAACACTTGAAGTTTTATTAACTCTCCTCTTTTACAATCTATATTTTAATGTGGCACCCAGACTAGCATCTATTTAACATTTAGAATTTAAAAACATCTACTGAATTTTAGCATTTCTAGCAGGAGAGTTAAAGATTTGATTAATCACACCCCAAGTTTTTGTTGTACTGTTCCTCGCTTTTTTATTTAATAACATCTTAATTAAACATTTCCATCTACGCTGCTGCAATAGGTTTCCAAACATTTTAGTATGGCATGAACATGTTTTATAGTTTCCTGTTGAATACAGCCTGTAATACAAGCAGCTATGGGATTCTGCTGCTCTTCAAACTGTGTGACATTTTAATACTGTGTCAACTCTGCCTTTAAGCAAATACTGATAATTATGGATTTCATATTAAAAATTGCACACTTTCTGGCAAATTCTCCTTTTGTCTTTTTTACTGTTTCAACAGTGACTGCATTTCTCAAATGCATTATCTATTTAAATACCTTACCTCTAACTGACAGATTCACTCTTCTAAATAGAATAGGGACTACTGCAAATCTAGGAATAATGCTGCGTGTCTTAAGTAAGCAGACAGTTCAAGAGATCTGAAAAGCAGTCAGTGAGCAGGTAGAGCCGACTGCCTACATCTGAACTCAGAAGACTATAAAGGCAACACTGGATTTGGGGGGTGTCTGATAGCACCTGTGCTTGGGAGCGGAGCCAGCCAGAGACCCAGCAGGGACCCTGCAGAACACTGAGGGAGGAGGTGGTCAAGCAGAAAGCACAGCACAAGCTCCTAGCTGCAGAAATGAGCATCTGTTGCTTGACCAAGTGCTGAGATCTTTTGCAGAAAGCAATTCTTTACGCTATTTAGGGAAAACAGCATTTGCATGGAGCCTGTCTGTTGATTGCTATCTATTCTAAAGGAAATCATCAAAATTTAATAAATAATTAAATAAATGGAGTAAAAAAGATAAATGTCATAGATCAGAAAAAAAGGATCTTTTTCAAGACAGGCAGTTGTTATCCTTAATTGAAGTAATATTCCAGGCTGTGCACAACCTTACCTATTTTATCAGCAACAACTGGAGAATACATCAACTGTGATCCCCTTTTATAGATAAGCTTGCTTGCTATAGATATGCAAGCTGAAAGCATCTGTCCAACAAAATTTGCTATATATTTATGTATATACACATATACCGTTGCTCAACTCTGTTGTTCGCTAAAAACTGCTTAAATTATAGCCGAACAGTGACGCAGAACCTAATCACTGCAAATATGATAGCTTATTCCATGTTTTGAAGCAATAAATGAAATTGACGCATCCTCCTATAGTCCACTGGATTAGAAAAGGCCTACCAGAATTGTGTTTCTATCCATAAAATGGGCAGGCAGTTTTTAAGTGAAGTTTTTGTCTGCTGAAATTCATTTAATATTGAACAGAACTTTTAATATTTCTGCTTCCAACATTTTTTAGACTGTTTTTCTCTATTTCAAGTAATGTATTCTAGTTTGAATGGTTCTGATTTAAAAAATAAATCTGATTATCATTTTAAAATCTAAGTAATATAAATCACATAAACAACATGGGTCAATTGACCTACTCAAAAAAACTTCTAACTAAAATTTCAGTGTTCAACCCTCAGACTAATCTGAAATCGCTAGCTTTTGTATCAGACATGAAGTTTCCTGACCCATTCCCTCAATAATGAATTTACTAACATTACTGAGTAGAACTGAAAGTTTCAGCCCGTTTTGGATCTATTCTGACAAGACACTGAAGCCAGCATCACTATATAAGCTTTCAGCACCCTGCAAGGAAAGTATGTGTTTTTTCTCCAGAGTTTCATAGTGATTCTGAGACAATAATTTTATCTTTGCCTCCAGAATAACAAACAAATAAATAAATAAATAAAAAGCTGGAACTATGCGCCTGGCAATAGCAGAGTTTCCCCAAATGGTGAGAGACCACGTTACAGTCTGTTAGCAAAATTCATTACGGAAAGTAAAATAATTACTACCAACCCCCTGCAAGACCAAAATAATGCACAAATCTTCGACATTGATGAGTTACTTTCCACCTTATGGCAATAAACAGCCACTTGGGATGACTGTTGTTCCAAATCTACGCACTGCTGAACAAGAACCATCAGGAAAAGTTTTAGTTCATGACTTGATCAAAGCTGGTTTACCTGCTCCTGGGAACATGAAGAGGGCAGCTCCTCCCTATCCCTCAAGTGGATGCAGTAGTTCTGATGTGTGTGTATCTGCTTACCTCAAAGCTCACTTCCATTAATGAACTTTTCCACTTTGGATATCAAACAGAATGGCCTCTTTTTCTTTCCTTTTCTTTCTTTCTTTCTCCCCAGTTTTAGATTTTGCTAAAACACTGACAAGTCTAGAGCCATACTACTTTGGCTGAAACTTGCTGCAGATTCACACATATGCTTATTTGATACCTATTATTCACATGACTTTAATGAGTAAAACAGGACAATAATTATTCTGTATCCCGCATATCCTGGCCCAAAATTACCTGGCAGTAACCTTTTATCTATATAAATTATTTTCTACAAAAAGGCAGAACATAGGTGGCAAGATCTGTACAAACCACAACGCACAAACTAGAAAGGCAGAAACTGATTAGCAGAATCTTGTCAGAAAGCCAAAAACAGCAACAGAAGTTGGACAAAATTCTGAAGTGAAATTAACCTGTGATACTATACAACCTTTCACAAGCTA